CTTTCAGAAATTAATCTCTGCTGAACTGTGCTGCTGCTTCTGCATTGCTAGAGGCAGTTCCAAGGGTGAGGTGGGTTGGGTCTCATTCCAGGGTGTCGTTCTTTGCTGGAATTGAATGATTTGGCTTGTCATGTTGCTGCTCTTTTCTTCCTTTGGCTTGCTAAGCATCTGCGGCTTTGGTGGCTCTGTGTCTTGGCAACATCTAATTCCCCAGGTGACGTCCAACACAGTGCCGAGCTGTGTAATGTCTCCAACTGTTTTTAAAAATAAAACCCAGGTTGCTCTGCAGGAAGTATCTGGCTATGCTTTGAGTGCATATGCTCTAACTCAGATGGCACTAGATGGGCTGTGAGTTTTGCATCAGATGCAAAGCTGGGTCTACGCACAAGTGAAGTAAGCAGCAATTTCGGGCCCGTTGCACCGTATTATGCCGTTTGGAAGGAGGCAGCCTGCCAAACAGCTACAAACAGGTCAACAAATAGGCTAATAGTCCATCTAAAAACTGGCTCCCTGTTCGCCAGCAGCAGACAGGCCATGAGCCGAACTGGTGGTGGTGGTGGGGGGTGTTGAGCATCCCTAGAGAGCACCACGTTTTTCTGCCTTGTGTTTGTGTCAGTTTGCAAGGTTTAGGAATACCTTTGGCCTTTTTGTATTTAGAGGGGCCTCAAGCAGGGGTCATTTTGTGCAGGAGTGCACAGGAGCGGAGCTCTGGCAGTAAAGAGCCCAGGGGGTGGGCACATTCAACAAGCCCCACCCCCCTGCTCTCAGCAGCCCCAGGCCACGAGGAGCAAGAAGCCTCTGTCTGTCCTTCCTTCTTTCCTTCCTCCCTTCTCGCCTTCTTTCCCTTTCCCTCCTCATTTCCTTCTCTCCCTCTTTCCTTCGTTCTTGATTTCTCTTTTTTCCCTCTCTCCTTCCTTCCTTCCTTCCTTCCTTCCTTCCTTCCTTCCTTCCTTCCTTCCTTCCTTCCTTCTCAATCCAAAACAGTCCAGTGGCACCTTTAAGGCCAAGGTTTATTCAGGTACAAGCTCTCCCTCCTCTGCTAGGGCAGATCTGCGCGTCCCCCCATAGCTAGCAATCCAAAAAAGTCCAGTGGAGCCTGAGCGGTGGGTGTTGCCTTCTGACACACTTCCGGTGATGTCAGGGGGAGTGGCATATGCAAATAAGTTATGCTAATGAGCTCCTGCACCTCTTTTTCTACAAAATGACCCCTGGCCTCAAGAAAGAGAGAAGCTGCCCTTCCTTAGGTTATATGTGGAACATTAGAACTGTAGTGTCTTTGTCAGAGTTATTGAGCCCTGACCTGGATAGGCCAGGGTAGCCCAAATTCGCCGTATCTCAGAAGCTAAGCAGGGTTGGCCCTGGTTAGTGTTTGGATGGGAGACCACCCAAGGAAGTCCAGGGTCATGATGCAGAGGGGGCACTGACAAAGCACCTCTCTGTCAGGGCCCTTTCACACACACTTAAATAATCCACTTTCAGTGCACTTTGCAACTGGATTTTGCTGGTGAAATGGCAGAATCCGCTTGCAAATGGTCGCTGAAGTGGATTGAAACGGCATTATTTAGCAAGAGTGAAAGCCTTGAAAACTCTGTGGGGCCGCCATCAGTCCGTTGTGACCTGACGGCACTGTCCCGCACCAATAACTGTTGAGCGTATCGTTAGTTTGGAAAGGAAAAGAGAACACCCCCTCCGAGCAGGGGGTGAGGACAGTGAGTGGCCACACCGTATCAGATTCGTGGATATCCTTTTGCCAAAGCGTGTCAAAAGGCATCTTTGGCTGTCATAACAGGGTGGATCAAACCATCCAAGTCGCCTTCCTTCCTCCAACCTAAATGACTCTTCTTCCGATGGAAAATTTGGGGGGAGCCTGCCTGGACTGAAAGAAGGGTTCACACTGGAAGTCCAAAGGAAAGGTGGGGCATAAATATTTTAATAAGTAAACTTGGCTCAGTGGAGTGACGGGATGGGGTGGGATCTACCCCAAATGTTGCAATATGTTCAAACATTCTGGCTTCCCCGGTTTGTGGCCCCTTTCCCAGAGCCTGCTGTCAGATAATATTACTGGGCACTGGAGCACCTCTGTTCAACTGATATGAGGCATGGAGTTTGATGATGTTGTCTGCCGTGCCATCGACTGTTTTATTGCTTCTGTTGTTTTATTGTTTTGTGAACTGTATGTTGTACTCTGCTCTGAGGGCTTGTGGGATAGGGTGGGTTATAAATGTAATAATAATAATAATAATAATAATAATAATAATAATAATAATAATA